GACACATTTCACAGCTTATTAACTATATGAATAATCTTTCTCTGCAAAGCAGCTTTCATGCCAGTTTACCCATTTTAAAAAACTTGATATTTTCTTATTGGTTTGTCAGAGCTCTTTATATATTTGGTATGCTTGTCAGGTATACATTTTTATAACTTGTTCTCCTAATTTGAGATTTTCATCTTCATTTTCTTGATGATGTTTTCTTAAAAGTAGGAATTTAAAAATTAAGTCTAGTGACCTACCATTTTGATTCATATTTAATGTTCTTTTAATGTTCTTGAATTATCTTTGTTTATCCTAAGACTGTAGATGTATCCCTACCTCTGTGTTTTCTTTGACATGTTTCATGGTTTTCAGTTTCATGTTTAGGCTTGTGATCCTGCCTGCATTTATTTTTGTGGGTAGAGAAGAGAGAATCAAGACTCACTTAGTTCCAAGTGGATGAGAACCCTTTGTCAAAAACGTTTTCCCTTTCCCACTGAATTGGTTTAAAACTTGGGACTTAATTTTTAAGATAAAGTCTTCTTCAAGCAAGTTTATTAAAAAATGTTTGTGCAAAATAGAAACCAAAGTCCCACAGATCACATAGTATTGAGTACTTAGCTGCTGTACAGTCCCATAGGTTCTTATTGTATGGATTCATAATCAGATAAAAAAGTGTTTGATGTCCCCAAACCTCCATCACATTGTCTATATGTCTGTCCTTTGACTGACACACACCATCTAGATTACTGAAGATCAGGGAGTGTGAGTTACTAACTAAAGAACACTTAGCCTGGCTAAATTTTCTGTTGTATTTCTTTTTAAACTCATTTTATTTTTTTACATTAACTTTATTGTGATCTTTTAAAAGCTTTGCCTTCATTTTCATTTATATGTCTGTGTCTGTCACGTGTGTGTGTGCCCATGGAGGCCAGTGATGCCTGGGAACTGGACCTACAGGTGGTTGTGAGCACTTGATGTGGGTGCTGGGAACCGAACTCAGGTCCTCTGGAAGAGCTCCCATAGCTGAGCTGCCTCTCCAGCCCCATACTGTGTGGTTTTCTCCCTGATTTCTTTGGGCTAATTTGGTCTTTTCTAATTTCATGTAAACTCTCCAAAGACTGTTTCTTCTTCCTAACATACACGATTAGCATTATCACCTTTCTCCCGGTTTTAGAAGTATTCCACTAATTTGGGAATGCTATATATTGATTTAAATTCACTTCAAGTGTTTCCTAATTTCTTTTGAGAGTCTTTTTTGTTTGTTTGTTTGTTTTAAATTACCTAGAGGTGTACTGTTTGATATGTTATTGTTTGGAGATTTCCCTCTTATCTTTCTTACTGATATCCAATGAAACTCTATTACAGTTTTGAACGAATTTTGTGCAGTTGTATTCTGAATTGGTTTGTGTGTGTGCCAGGACTCATGGCTTTGGTTTCCATTGGCGTGTTCTCATTGTGCCCTTACTAAGAATGTGTGTTTCCTCATGTTGGGGAGGTTATTACTAATGAACTTCCGGGATGAATTCCCAGCTTGGGAAGGGTTTACTTGAGAGCAAATTGACACACTGATGAAAATGTTCTATTCAGTAAAGGAGAGAGGCAAACTCCTAATGAACTTCCTTTACGTACCTAGGTCCAGCCATTCCTGACATCAGTAGGCGTCGCTTACATTCAAAGCAAACCAAACTGGACCCAGCAGCAAAACAGTTTTCTCAGCGTTAGCCAGAGTAGTTGGTATTTCTCTCTCTTACTACAAAGGCTTCTCAATCCCCTTTACTGTGTCTGTATCTGTATGTTTTAACTTTCCTTTTGACCCCATTAGGTCCCCAGCCAGGATTCAAGGGACCAATTGTCCCCTAAAGCCACAGAGTAGCACCCTCTTCCCCCGAGAGGGCAAAGAGTTTATCTCAGGGTTCTCCAAACAGAAGTGGTTGTCCTCAGAGACTCTCAGTGTGAACACTGAGCAGGGAAACGGGCAAGGTTGATGTGAAGGCAGGCTGTGCTCCAGGGCAAATTTCAACGGTCAGGAACCCATCTTCCTTTGAAAGGTAAGGCAGTTTCCTAGGCTAGATGGAAAGGACAGCTGATCCCTTTGCTGGCCCCTGTGAAATCTGCATTGCTGGCAACTTGGAGATATGGTAGTTTATTCACTCTTGGAACTCGATATTTAAAAAGAGGGAAATGAATAGACATGGAGAAAAATGATAGACCTTTTAGGAATGGGAAAAGTAATATTGCTTCCTCACAGTATTTTGCTACATCTGTTAAATCAGGATCCCAAATTATGGGAAACGTGACATGTTTGGCATGTTTAGGTGAGGCATGTTCCCAGCACAGATATTAGGAGACTTGGGACCACGGAGATGGATGGAGAGGAAGGCCCTTGGGGAAGGACGCTGCTCAAGGTCACATGGAAGATTAACTGCAGGCAAGGTCTGAAGTGTGAAGGAGGCAGTGGCATCATCTGGAGGGTTTTGAGCACTTGTGTGCCCTACACAGTGTTGGGAAGACCTTGGAGGCCCAAATGGTCCCTACCTTCCAGGAGTTCCTAGCCCAGGGAGAGTGAGATGTGGAAGCACATGCTACTTAGGGCTGGTGTGGCTGGACCAGGGTTCTACTCCTGGCAGGACAAGTCGAAGAAGGCAGCCCTTAGCCCTGCTAGGAACAGGGCTTGGTAGGGAGGGGAGACTTCTCCAGAAGAACAAGGCATGAAGTTACATCTTGAAGGTCACACTGAGCTCTCCGTGTTAGTGAGGCATGCGAGTGGATTTTGAGGGAGGGAAGCATATGCTGTCCTTGCTTCTCTTGTGACATTTATCTCATACTTTGTGTCAACGCTGCATGCAGGTCTGCCTGGTCTCCCAAAAGCCTTTTGTGGCTGTATAGAACATCAATCTTCCTCATTTCCCTCATCTGTCAAGAAAGTTTAATCACAACACTCCTTCTTGATAATTATTCAATATATAGAGATGTATATGAAGTGTACAGAGTGATGTCCTATGCACAGTAAATACCCAATAAATGAACTACAATAATTAATATGTAACAAGTACTCAAACCCTTTTCTCTTCATCAAACTGTTCTTTAACTTCAAGTGACTTTGTCTAAAATAAGGTCCTTGCTCTGCCTGCTGGAAGCCTCTAGCAGCTTCATGCCCCACTCTCAGAGAGCATCTCTCTTGGTCCTTCTTCTACTGCTACAACTGAATACCACACACAGAGGAACTAATAAAGCATAAAGGTTATTTGGCTCATGGTTCTGGAGGCTGGGTGGTCCAAGGTGGAGAGAGCACATCCAGGGAGGAGCTTACGCTGGTGGGGGCAGAGTCCCCAGGTGGTATAGGGTTTCTCACAGAGACACAGCAAGTAGCTAACTTGAGAGTCTTATAAAGCCACTGACATCATCATCAAGGTTCCATCCTTATGATCTCATCTAATCCTAATTACATTCCAAATGCCCCATTTACATATCCACTAATGTAAACTTTAGGGATTAAGTTGCAATGTGAAATTTAGAGGGAACAAGTACCCAGAACGTAGAAGTGTCTACTTAGAGCACAGTCTATTAGATGTGAGTAAGCTGGTTTGTGTGAACACAGAGAATAATGGGGCTTGAAGGGGCACTGACTGCTAAAGCTCAGAAGCATCAAAGGTGAGTCAGTGCTGGCAGAAGATGTCAGGGGCAGCTAGGGACACAGTGTGTGATTGGACCCAATCATAAAGAGACACCAGGACGACCCTTCTTGCTGGCTTGCGGATGTTTTGCCTTTGAGCATCATTACCAGGAGGCTGTTCGAGGGGAGTTATCTGTTTGCATAGCTAACTTAGAGGGGTCTCAAATGCATGCTCCAGCAAGTACTCTGGACAACACATGGAGGAAAGGAAGAGTCTGGCTTGCAAAGCAGCAATGACAGCATCATGCAAAGCAAACAAAAACACTCGTCTTGCTTTTTCCAAGCATCTCAAGGATCCAGTTAGGTTTCTGAGGATGGTCTTGGGAAGAATAGAAGTGACAGAGACCTAGAGCAGGTGGTGGGGTAAAGTGCACAGTAGCAAAAGCTGTCTGCAGTCGGGAGGATACGGGACCTGGAACGGGGGCCCTGACTGTGAAGGACCTTCATGCAGAATTGGAATTCAGTCATCTCCACCAACCTCAGCTTTTGTGTGTCATCTCTGACTCAGTGTTTTTATATGTGGCTTCCTGTTTACTAAATTCTGTCCCTGCTATCTTTGTGGCAAAGTGGTTGTCAGGCAGCATGGCTGTCTCCCGTCCTTTAGAGTCCCAGGAGGAGTAGGTGGAGCGTCTGGGAAGGGCGGTGTTCTGGGAGAAGAGAGAAACCAGTCAATAACACAGGTTATCAGGACAGCTCAGAGGAAATGCAGAGAGGGTAACACTCAGGCATTTGTGCGGAGAGAATCCAAGGCTGCCATTTTTAAAATGGTGCAGAACTCGAGAGTTGAGACTAATGAGTGATGGAGAAGTGTTTCTCGGCAAGGCCTTGTGGGTTAGCTGGATGCTGGTGTGTGAAAAGAGAAGACATGGAAGCCCAAGAGAGATGTGCAATTACTTTTATGCATCAACTTTGGGCAACTGGGTGCTCAGATATTTGGTCAAGTGTCCTTCTGGATGTGTTTGCGGAGGTGTCTTTAGATGAGAGTTAGAATTAGTTAGTCCTCTCCCATATGGGTGGCCCTTATCCATTTAGCTGAAAGTCTAAAGAGAGAACAGCAGGGGATTCCTCTCCTAAATGTCTTGTGCTGGGATGAGCTCAAACATCATTTCTTGGTCTCGAGCCTGCCAGTGTCAGGAAGAGCTTCTGACAACTATGGCCTTCTCCAGCTTCCAGACTGACGCCGACTGTGTATATCTCCTGTGTCTCCAGTAGCAGATCCTGGACTTCTCAGCTTCCGTAGTACTTCAATGATGATTCTCTCTCTCTCTTTGTCTATCTCTCTCTCCATCTCTCTCTCTCTCACACACACTTAATGGATCTCTATTCTATTTCTCTGCAGAACCCCAACTAATCAGATGGTGGCCATCATGGCTGAATCGAGCACAGGACTTGGCAGTCTCTGCACATCCGTGTGAGTCCTCAGGCTCAGGCTGAGCACTGCATTTCTGCATCCAGCCTATGGATCAATACTGCACTGATAGTTAAATAACAAATATTTATTGTGTATTTAGTCTTGTCTGCAGTGGTGATGTATTTCACATGCTCATTTGTTTAATCAATAAACACTTACTGGCTATCTACTGAATGTCTGGAATGTACCACTGGACAAGATAAGAATCTGAATCCATATGCTCTTGAAGTTCAATGTAGAACAATAAACAATAGACATTGCATTCACGTTAAGCGCACGGCATGTTACAAGGTAATTTATTGTTATACAAATATTAAGTAAAGGGCATTAAATTAAGCATTGGGGTTGGGGTGCAACTTTAAACAGGTTACTCAGGGAGCCCTCACCGTGAAGTGAAGTGTGAGCAGGGAATTAAGAAGCATGTGAAGGAGGGAGAAGACCTGGGAGAGGAAATGTCGAGGAAGTGTCCCATGCAAAGGCCAGTGCGTTTGAGGAAGGGTGTGGTACAAGGCTTGTGTGACTGGATGGGAGCGAATAAGAAAAGAGAAGAAAGTGAGGCCAAGAGTAAAAGTGAGAGAGGTAAGAGCATGTCTAGCCTCGTAGACCATGGGAAGGGTGCCGTTTTAAGAAGATTATGTCAGGGCAGGAAACTGGACAGGACTGGAGACAGTCATGCGAAGAGAACGAAGCCTGCGTCATAGTGACAGGTATGTGTTCTCTCATTTGCAGTTCCTACACATACAATCATGTGTGCGTCTATAAAGCAGGTGTAAAATTGTCTAGGAGAAAGAAAGGGCATAGCGGGAGGGGAGAAGGGGAGAAAAGGTAGGATGGGTAGGACACGAAGGGGGAGGGATAAGCTCGCTCGATACACAATACACACTGGTAAGAAAGTTACAAAATAAAAAGGTGTGGCTGTAGTCCAGACAGGAGCCCTTGCAGCTTTCTTGCAGAAGGATCATCAAATGGGTCTTATTTTAGCAGAAGGCCTCCTGGCTCCTACTCTTCAGTGATCCAAGTAAGAGATGGTGGTGTCTGGAACCCGGGCAGCGTCAGGCAGATGGATTGAAAGTGACAGGGGAAGTCCAGCATGGTTGGAGCTGTGTGAGCAAGGAAGCTGCTGGCATAGACTGAGGTCAGACATGGACCATCAAAATGAGGAAGGGACTGTGGAGATGGCTCAGTGAGTGAGCTTGTTGCGCATGCGTGAGGAACTGAGTTTGGGTCCCAACAGTCAAATAAAACCTGGATGTGACCTCATGTATACTCATAACTTGGGGTTATAGTCAAGTGGAAGAGACAAGAGGATGGCTGTAGCTTGCTGGGCTCCTGATCTTAGCTCTATATTCATGAGAGACCCTGTTCAAGAGAATAATGCTGAGACTGATGTAGCAGGATGCCCAACATCCTTGCCCTTCTATGACCTCCATGCATGCAAACATAGGTGTTCATACCTCCACATGTGTATACAACACACACACACACACACACACACACACACACCCCAAAAGTTATAAGGTCACTTGAGGTGTGAGATGCAGCCAGACTGTGTGTACTTTAGGCAGGGGGTGTGTGTAGGTAGGCCTGCTGCTTGTTCTCCATTCTGAGGATTCTGAGGAGGGGGCTGGATGTGGGGGACGCTCTCAGCCTTCCATCTGCACAGTGTTCCTGCCAGCAGACTTGGGAGCTAGCACCCACTTCCTCAGTGAGGTTGAGGGACCACTTTCTCAGGAGGGTGAGAAGCACCTCCGGGTGCATCGGCCACACCTTGGCCTTGGGTGGGTCTAAGGTGTTGGACCTCACCTGCTTTGATCTGCTAACCCCAGTTACAGCCCAGAGGGTCTCCGCTTCCAGTTTGTGAATAACCTACCTCTCAGACCTGGTTTCCCATCTTCCCGGTCCTTAGCTGAGTTGTCTTCAAACTTCTCCACAGCCTTGACATTGCTATTCAGCCTGGATACCAAGGGCATCCTGGTCAGGTGAAGGGAAGGTGAAGCACCTGGAATCTTCCTGCCATGGAGAAAGCACTTGGAGGTGCTCAGAGGCCGCGTTTAGCAGACTTAATTATAATCTTTTCTTGTCACAAGTTCTGCTCACCGGTCCAAGTTACAGTTTGTTAAAGACGTCCCAATCTGGCTTCATCCTTGGGAGATGGTTCAGTGGGTAAACCTTCCGTTCAAGCTTGAGGACCCGAGTTCTCATACTTAGTATCTATGTAAAAAGTCATGTGTAGTGGCTCTGCCTGTAATCCCGGCACTGGGAAAGTGGGGACAGGAAGATCCCTGGGGCTTGCTGACCAGTTAGTCCGTCAGTCTAGCCAATCGGTGAGCTCCAGGCTCAGTGTGAGAAACCTTGTCTCAAAAACTAAGGCAGAGAAGCAGTTGAGGAAGACACCTGATGTTGCCCTCTGGCCTCCACACACCCCACCACGTGGACACACATGTAAACATGCACATACACACAGCGTGTGCCACCAAGTGCCGAAGAAGGCACATGGGTCCACGACTCAGCCTTTCAATCTACTCTAGGACCCAACTTACTGGAGAGCTTGGGTCAGATGTTTGAGATATGTGACCAGGAACACGGTCTATTGAGCCCCTCCCCCCCAGTCTCTAATCAACCTGGGGTCTGAAATGAAGACGGCACTGAAGTGAGGCTGAGCCATACCAGGTCTAACGCCAGCCCCAGAGGCCTTGCCACGTGATGAAGGGAACAGGCTAGACCGCGGGCAGACCTGGGTTCCCACGCCCCCGCTTCTCTTCGGTTGCTTGCTGTCAATAAGGTTCTGGGTGCTCTCTTCGCCCCTTGGTATCCTCATTTCCCCACAAAAGGCACACCCTTTGGTGTGAGGCTAATTTGGGTGCCAGCGGCGTGGACAGAGTAGAGGGCGGCCAGGCAGCTTGATGATTGCTTTCAATAATCTGGTGAGGCGTGGGGGGCGGGGTTAGAGCGCAGAAGCTTGGTAAATTCAGAAAAGACCTCTCTGGGGAAGACACATTTGGACTGTGGGGACAGAGAGGCGGCTCCACAGTTCTTAGGGAAGAAGGAATTGGCTGTGGCTGAGATAGGTGGTCATCAGATCTAGCCCCCAAGGCGAGGCTGTGAGGGAACTTTTGGACAGGCTGATGACAGACACTTTGCCGCTGGGCAACTCCGATCTCTCTTGGACTGTGTGTGTTTCTGGGCGGTAGGCTTTGGATGGCTGTTGCCATGGGGTAGCTGCTGAGCAGGGGAGACGGAAGGCAAGCCTGGTGACCCACGTCTCTCTGTGTCTGCTGGTCTATGTATCTCCGGTGATGACAGCTCAGGGCTGGCAACTGTCCTGTCTGTCTACCTTCTCAGTTTTGAACAGATTCCCATCTATCCCAGAACCATACAACAGAAGGATTCTGGGAGCTATAGCTCCAGCTAGTCCAAAGTGAGATGTCAGTTATCATAGGGTGGTACCTTACTCCCAAGGGAGAGAAAACCTGACGAGGAAGCGTGTTCTCTTTCACTTGAGATGCCTGTTTAAGATGATACCCTGCGACCCCTGCCATTCAAGTCCCAAGGAATCCTCTCCCCTCAAGTTTGAGCTTGCTGTAGGGACTTATTTCAAGAAACAGAAAGGTGACATGCCATCACTTCTGAGACCAGGTTTTAAAAGGATGTGGCTTCTGGTCTCAATGGCCTTTCCTGTGTATTAGTTCCACACTCTGAGGCCACTCAGCTCCCCATTTGATAGCTGATTCTTTAGGGACCCACATGACAAGGAACTGAAGGAGACCTGTAATGGGTGGTGGATCTGAGTGAGGACCTGAAATCTATAGTCCAAGGACCATCTGGGAACTGAACCTGCCAATTGCCATGTAGGCCAGTTTGGAAACAAGTTTCCCTCTGGTATCTTCAGTTGAGACTACAGCGCAAGGCATCAGTGTCCCGTCTCCAGTCTCAAGAAGCAACTTGAGCCAGAGGCTAACAGATTCTGGACTTAGGGAAAATGTGATACAACAAGCAATTATTGATATAAACTATTATATTTTAGGAGAAAATTTCTGTAACTGGTAATTATTGTATGTGGGGGTCGCTAAACCACATGGATAGCAAAGTAACAATATATGGGAAACAAGAAGACTAGTTCAATACAGGTAAGTAGCTGGCAGGATTTTAGGCATATTTAGGCACAGCACAATTCGGTGAAAACTTTCTGGGTGATAATTAATCCCCGGTGTCACAGTAAATCACAAAGTCAGCTAAATAAAGAGGTGGCGTGGCTGCATTTAAACACTTTGTAAAGTACGCTTGAAGCCTCCCATAGAGATGGGTTCTATGGACTGACTGAGGAAAACAAGCTCAAGATAAAGGTCTGAGGAAGGATCCTGTGTGGTCTTGGTCACAGATACCACAAAGGCCATGTTAACATGCTCATTCCCAGCCTTCTGGGCAGATGACAGGTTATGCATTCCTTCCCTGTGTATTAACACTTCAGGTTCCCCTAATGCATTCCCGTGAGCACAGAGACCTCCCGTGGCTCCTACAAACATAGGTGTGTACTGGGTATCATGTAAAGGAAAGATGGACAGCATGGAGGGTCAGTGGGGGATAGGGCATAGCTAGGGCAAGTTTGATGACAGAGAGCTCGGGTGGAAGGCTTTCAGGTCCTGGTTGGGTTGGTTGTTACAGCCTGAGCTGGAAACCCATCCTTTGGCCATTCCACCAAGACTCCTCCCAGGTAGACGTTATCGTCAGACAAAGTTGAGTTGATTCATGGCTGCACAGGGCAGATGATTTACACTGTCAATAAGATGTTAACAGCCAGCCCAGCATACTATTGGAGAGCCTGGGAAGATTTCCTGGCAGAGTGAATGGAGACTTCCAGGAGACCTCAACACAGAGTGGCCGGCTGACTGATGAGAAGGTTGTTTGGGGCCCATTTCCCAGCCCCACCCACTCCCATCTTTTCCCACTTCTTCCTACCCTCCCCTTCCTTGACCAGCTCCCCTCTTCCTTAATTTCTCTCCTCTCTCCTCCCAGGCCTTTCCCTCACCAACTCCGGCCTCCCCTCTCCCCTTCCATCCTCTTCTCATCTCCTGCTCTTTTCTTCCTCTCCCTCCTTCCTTCCTCCTCCCTGGCCTATGATGAAAGGCCGCCCCAGCCTCCCCAGCCTCCCTCCTGATGAATTATGCAAAC